CATGCGTTTTGTGCAATTCAGCCCATCGAACGATTGCCTATTAATGATTTTCACTGCTTCGTACTTCTGTCTATGCAAAAATAGTTCAAACACTGGAGAACAGTTAAAAATTTCACGCAGCAGCGCATGAAAGTTGCATTCGAAACCTTGAAGGGTGAATATCTTTCCGTGATTCCCAAGTTAGCAGTTTAACCGAGAAAATTCTCACGAGGCCGTAGGTGATACTCAACAGCGAGGGAACGCTGAATTTGAACAGGCAAGGTTGAGCGTGGACAGGGGGGTCATTACCCTAAAATTTCAGCTTCCTTGACCCCGTGGTTCCCGAGATAATCATCTACCCGCAAAAACTTTCACTCGCCCATAGGTGATACCCGAGAGCGCGGGAACGTTGAACTTGAATGGGCAAGGTTGATTGTGGGCAGAGGGTCATTACCCTAAAATTTCAGCCTCCTAGATTCCGTGGTTTAATTTATCCGTAAAAAACTTTCCCGGGGCCGTACGCGTTACCCGGGGTAAGGGAAGGCTGAATATAAATTTGCCGCGTCACCCGTTGGCGGGTGCCGTACGAGTTACCCGCAGGTACGGGAAGGCTGAATTTAAATTTGCCGCGTCACCCGTTGGCGGAGAGTACTACGCTAAAATTTCAGCCGCCTAGCTTTTGTGGTTCCCGAGTTGAAAGTGCGGGACAAAATGTGGGACACACACACAAACACACACACACACATACACACAAACACACACACGCACAGACAAACCCGTGACAATATGCGTTTTGTAACGCTGTTACACAGCACAACACGCATAAAAACTGAAAACATTTATGACAGTGGTCTAAGGTGTGGTGTGTCCTTATGTTTTTTTCGAAACCTTTTGAAGTAATTTTAAAAATTAAGCTTCATAAACAGCCCAAGGTCAGCTACGAAGAACTGAAAGAACAGCAGAAAGGTAACTGGCATAACTCAAATAAATGGAATGTGTAGGATGCGCGAAAGCGCAATGACGTAGCCAACAGCGTTGCCGACTGTACAGTCGGAGACCGAGAACGTGAATTAAAAGCTATCCTAGATATCATAGGTGACTGGATCCAGTCAACACGGCGCAATGCCAAACGTCTTTGGGTCTAATGCTTGTCCATTTTGAAGCAACATATAAATTTTAGAAATTTTTTACCCTATTTATCGTTGCCTTATTTGAAATTGAGAAAGATAAAATTGCTGTTGATGTTAAACAATAAAGAACGCAAATATCCTGAGCTGCCAGCCAAGCAAGACACAAGCCTGTCACCTCGTCGCCTGATCCTGAATTTGCACCATCTACCACAGTAAGCCATTTCCCAGATCTAAATTAACATCAATCCCCATCGTCATTAACATCATCGTCATAACTACCACATGATCATATTCTCTTGTTGGGTTCTCGAAAATCACCACAAAGTAGATAACATTTGCGTAAAAGGCTCGCCCCATTTGAAGCCACTCGCTCTAATGCATGTCAACTGAGTACTCTTTACGGGACAAAATATTCTGAGTTGGAAACATCATGCCGTTGTAAGCGTGACAGAATGTAAAATCCGCCGATAAGCATATTTTTTTTTTTGGTTTGAGCGAGGGACGACGCATATCACTGAATAGTAACTATAAGTAATTGGCCCATGCACCGGCTGCTGTGCATAAATGCGTTTTTTGCACAGTTCTTCTGCAGGTTTTCGTCGCTAACGGCACTGTTTTTTCCGGTAAATGCCTCCAGCTAAAAGAATTGAGACTGGCCACCACGACTGTCAGAAATTATATCAAAGACTCCCAATCCATGCTCAAAAAAATTCAGTACTTTAGATGCTTCGGTTGCGGAGTTACCTTCAATTTTCACGTGTTCGTACGTGATGGAAAACGTGGACAATGCTTTCATGCGTGTTTACCCAAAGACGCACCTGGCCCATGCTCAGAAAATTTCTGCGCTCTAGCAGCTTTGGTTGCGGAATTAAGTCAGATTTCACTTGTTCGTATGTGACACGTACGTGAAACATAAAAGGAAAGTGAAGGTTGTTTTCATGTCCATCTGGCCAATGTCGGTCACGCCCAGAAAGTTTCAGCGCCCTAACTGCTTCAGTTCCAAAGTTACAAAAGTGTCTACGTCAAATTTGGTGTGTTCGTACGTGAGATATAGAGGGGCTGGTAAGCTCAATTTACTTTCACGGTCACATCAGTGGGCAACAAGTAGCACTGCAGAGTTACAGCACCCTACGACTTTCTGGTCAGTTTAATTCTCGAGTTGGCAGGACGCCAATTTAAACTTTCACGTGTCCGTACACAAGCATAATGGGCATCACGGGTACCTGGGGGCTGAATTCAAAACCTTTACGTCGTAATTGGGCAAGAAACAACGCCTTAAAATTTCAGCCACCCAGCTCCCCTGGTTTCCGAGTTAGTAATTTCCTTGCTAAAATCCTTCAGATGCCTACACGCGAGAACCACTTGGAAGCGAGCAGTGTAGACCCGTACACGGATGTAGATTAAGTCACCAACGTTCCGGCTTTGTAGTCTTTGCAGGTCTAAAGATGTAAACTCAGTGAAGACGCACAAACATACACAAACACACAGACAATCCCTCAACAATATGCGTTTTTGCAACGCAAAGATGCAAAAAACGCATGAAAAGAGGAATACAGCGAGTGAAAACAAAGGCTAAGTAAAGAAGGCGGATATAAACTAAGAGTAAATGTTCTGAAACAAAGCGACGTAATACAGCTAAGCATTCATCGAGTTTTTCCACGTAGGTACTATGCACTAGTATAAGACGTTCACTGGTTGACGCGAGTGACGTTTATGGGGTGTTTTAGAAATCCTAAGAGGCAATTACTGTGAAACGAAAGGTTCCAGCGAAAAACTAAGGCAAAATAACTTAATGCAATTTTCGGGAAAAT